TTTTTTTTTTTTTTTAGTGGCGGAAACGGGCTTCCATACTGTTCAGCTCAGGCACAGCTGAGTTTTTCTTACTCAAGAGCTGCTGCTCAGTGGCAGCTGTTAACAGAGGAAAATGTGTCTCGTATACAAGGTCTGATTTTCCTTCCAAGACAGATACTTTGTTATTTGTGCGAACTTTGGTTGCACTTAGATAACATTGTAACATTGCAAGTGTACAAAACGGCTTAGTCACATGCACATGTGCACACACCAGTGCAAGGTGCTGGCCTAGTGTCTAACCAAGGACTCCTTAGCAGATGAGCCTGAACCATCACAGTTGCTTGTTGTGGTGTTTGTGTTTAGTAGCTGGCTGTATTTGAAACATCAACCTTCAGTTATAGTGTTTCGTATAGTTAAATGTCAAAATTATTTTCAAATGCATGGAATTTAAAAAAAAGGAATAAATAAATGTGACCTTTAGTCTGACAGACTGAGCACATTTGGTGTCATCTTTACATTTTATTTTATACCTCTGAAAGATCATTTCCTCGGGCTCGTTTTCTGTCGTAAATAAACTACTCTACACTCGCTGCAGGCAGCTGTCATTCACATTTTAAACCACGAATTTACTTTTGCTTTTGCAGTGTTAAAAATGTCTCAAATTAGATTTGTATTCATGAATTATTGGAGTGGAGCACCTGTGCACTCGGTCTGAAGATTTATAAAGAGTTCTTTCATCTTCCTCTTTTCCAACCTTTCTCCTTCTGCTAAACAGGCAGGGGTCATTTTGTCTACAGCGAAATCCACTGCATAAGTGCAGAGGTGAAAAACTGTGTGTGTGTTTGTGGTAAGACCTTGACCTTGACTGCAGTCCCTAATGGAGAGGCTGTTCCCCTGAATGACTCAAACTCCCCCCGCCGTACAGCGGTATGTAGCAACCCATAAAGCATGCTTATGGCCCACTCTGGTTTCAGGGAGTGGAAGCCCGACCCCGCCCCTTCCTCACACTCTGAAATAGCCGCGTCCTTGTCCCCACACGGAGCACAGTGCGAGTCGGGGTGTATATATGCGGCTGTGGTTGATTGAGGAGCAGATTGCTGGTGACAGGTCACACTGCGTTCCGTCCCTCAGACCCCCCCAGATTAGCGACCTGAGGTCCCCACACTGCCCTCCCTTCCTCTGGGCCCCCACCTGTTAGGATCCCTCTGCTGCTCAGAGCTTTCCTCACGCACACACACAGTGGTCAATCTGCATTTACAGAATTCTCTTATTTCTCCGTCAGTCAACCAGAAGGTTATAAAGGCCATTACAAGTCATTATGGTGTGTGTGTGTGTGTGTTGCCTGACTGTGAATTTGTGTGGGTTGAAAAGACGCCTGTCACAGCATGCTCTCATAATTGCCCTCTTAGCCAATTATCCCCCATTTAAAGCAAATCACCTGCTCTGCTCCCATGTCCACACACACACACACACACACACACACACACACACACACACACACACATAATAACGCGGAAACTTAATATTTAATCATTTCATC